AGACCGAAGAGCCACGGAGCAGGCATGACACTAGCCTTTTGGACACTAGCCGAGCACGATGCAGCACGCGCATGGGATTGGTCCACAAGCACAAGGGCACATAAGGATCAACGATGTTGTTTTGCAGGTCTCTGAAGCCTGCAAATCCTTTCAAGGGCCCAGCCCGAACATGTGCAGACACGTGCAGGGATCAGCTAATCACCAGCTATGATTTCACCATGCCTTTTGCCGGAACCTCAGTGAATGTGCGAAGCTTGTCGGTCGGCCCCCATTACAGATTTCGTTCATCCACCGCAGGATCAAGACCTTCCCTGGTAAGGTGCTTTGGAAGCGAAACAGCCCTTTTGGGCATCTGAGGTGATGCCGAACAGCCGGAACACTTGGGAGATGATCTACACGTCTCTTGGTGGACCGAAGCTGGTGTAACTGTGTAGATGGCACAAGACAGCGTCCATGAGACATCCTGATGTGGATGTCGCACAAAATGAATTTGGATTGGAACCTTCACTGGGCCATTTGTTGCCTATCTGCTCTTCGCCGACCGGGAGTGCCGTGATGAATACAAGCATGAGCAGGATGCGGCTGTTGCGGATCTTGTCCACCCGAAAGTTGTCTGTATGTCACAAGAGTGGAGAAGGATTTGGATGAGGTGTTACCCCCCCCCAAAGCCCTCTCTAAATCCCAAATGCCGCCAGTCGCCTCGTTGGAGATGATGCCACTATCACCGATTATCATACCCAAGACAGTGCTAACAAACATGAAACGTTGTGACCAAAAACCCGTGATCAATCACGGCGAACATGATGATGTTGTGGCGTCCACTGCATGCTCATGGATCTAATTAGAAAGATGACATTGTCAACCAAGCACTCATGTGAGACGCTACCTAGTTGGCTAGCAACATCAAGTTTGCAAATTTAGCGAGCAATCACCTGTTCCTGTTGAGCCGCAGTAGCATCGTTTTGACATGTTTGGGGATCTCTGTGGTATTCCAGCACTCACCCTTTCTTTGGGTGTGTCTCGTCTTTGTCAGCGGACTATTGGCAGGACAGTCAATGAAACTCATTGCTGCATTGCTGGGAAAGTTCCACTGTTCTGAGAGCCAAGCATGGACCGTTCTGGGATGTTTTGGGCACCAGACATTTGGCGCCAAGGAAGCCACTGCTGTCTGAAGAATGGAAGGAAGCACTCAGGCCTGGTAGGGCGACCGAGAGGGGATGAACAGGCGAACGGACCGAACGGCTGAACTCCAAGGAGAACTTGTCTCAGAAATGGGGAGAATCTGCCGAAAGTGCTCAATGAGGGCAGAACAAGTGGGGACATCCCGGCGGTTTGGGGACACCTCACTTGGAGATTTGGTGGGCTACATATCTCAATGGCCTGGATTTCAGTCTAAGAGTCATCACTTGGGAGTGGTGGGGTTAGGAAAGGTATTTGAATGGGAGGGTCTGGTCAGTCAGGGAGAGAGCAGCCAGAGACCTTAGATTGATTTAGGTGACGACGAAAGATCAAGATCACGTGTTCAAGATCACCAGTGATTGAGATGACTGATGATTGATTGATTTACTGTAGATGACGTGGCCAGGTGGTATTCAAGATCACGGAATCACGAGTCATCCACTTGAGCCATCCAAGTCTCACGCAGGAGCGCACCCTGGGAAGCCCGATCGGACAGTGCCTTGGGCGAAGAGTGCAGGTCGTGCAGAGTTCAATTCCACACAAGTTGGAAGCTGTTCTTCACATTGGAGGATCCAGATTGCACCAAACAATTATGGTGCACGGTACTCCTGCTAGGCTGCTACGCGCAAAGCTACTCGGCAAACCCAAACTTTCCTTTGAGGAGGCATACACCAAAGTGCCTGAATTGGCTATTCATGAGCCTGGCTTTTGGGGCTATTGAAGCTGTGTGAATCCTTTTGCCAACACCTATGTAGGCAAGCGAGTCATGGATGCGACCATCTGTGGATTTTGTTCTTTCGGCAACCCTGCAACTTCACCCAAAGGTCGGACATGGCTGAAATCTGGAGTGGACTCAATGGATATCACGAGGACTTGTGGGGGAAAAAAATAGCTTCAAACGTCCTCATTTTGCCAAGTTCATGCCCATCCCATCCTTGTCATTTCTAAACCTGGAGCTGTCGGTGCTTGGTGGCGGACACTTCTCCAGATGAGGGGCATGCTGTTGCTTTGCTCATGTGCTAGGCCGCTAGGTGTTCCCATGTTCCCCTTGTTTGCCACACACTCATGAACCTCTTTTGGGATGTTTCCCAACGTGGAGGCTTCTACTTTGTGCAAGACCAGCTGATCATGCACAACAGGGCAGAATATAACTATTCGCCGCTTGGTCTGATAGGGCGGCATCCTGTGCACCCTGGCGCCAGCAAACAGCTGAGAAAAGCTCGGGTGGATCCGGTGGAGAGCAGGTTCGCCCTAAACTGACCGCCCGCAGCTTCGCGCGGTTGTCCGTTCCGCAGGTTCGCAAAAGGAACCTACGTTCGCAGTGGCCTCCAACCGATGGCCGCGATGGCCTCCAACCGACTATCAAAGTGTGTTGGGCGAAGTAAGTTGATGGAAACCTCTTAGCCATTTGGGGCCCATTTGGACAACCAAACCATTTGTCAATTTGTCTTCTGTCCTGCACTTCAGGCAATACATATGACACTCTATCCACGACGTCCGTCGTGGTGTGGATCGAAGACCATCCAACCCCTGGTGCCAAGGCCCTACTGAGTGCAGCGAGGTGCGGGCGAACGATGTGGCCGCTGTTTGATCAGGGCCTTACTTAAACCCCAAAAGAGATGGCCTCCATCTGGGGTGTCAAACAGCGATTCATCTGCCTTCAGAGATTCACCATGCATTCTTTTACATGGCAATGGCCTCCAACCTATTAGCGATGGCCTCCAACCTACTAGCGATGGCCTCCAACCTAAGAGCGATGGCCTCCAACCTACTAGCAAGGAGAATGAAGCGGTTTGCAACCGGAAGTTTTCCTTTCACATACAGGGTCGGAATGTTTGTCTTTTTGCCGAACATCCCTTCTCGGAAACGCATACATTCTGTCAGTTGTTTGTCCATAAAGTGCAGGTACTGTACATTGTGTAGACCTTCCAAATGCAAACCTGTACACAAACGTGACGCTTTGTTTAGTATCCCCATTCATCACTGTTTCTTCAGCAAGTTATCAAAGTTATGTTGTTTATCGAACAAGTCAGCAGAAAGAGTCAGAGCGACCCAACCAGCCGCTGGGGCAACCAGCCGCGCCAGGAAGTGAAGCAAGAATCTCACGTGAACTGAAGTCTGGTGGCGAGATTCCGGCGGTGGAATCAAAAACTCATGGGTGCTCCATGTGAACCCAATAAAATATATACTGCATGAGAATGGTTTAAACAACATACAGTAACCAAACTTTTAACTTTGCTTAGAGGTCTCCAATTCCAGTCCAACAGACCGAATTCACGGACAAGCATTCACGGACGAATAGTCACAGACCGGCGATCAGTCACGTCTCTGAGGTTTCTGAACGACTCAACGACTCACAGATGTGCAGAACTGGGCAATGACGGCTTTTCAAGGTAATGACGGAAGTAGCAGAAGGCTGACAAGTAGCTTTTGATCACCTTTTTGGATGAGATGATGACATTGCGCCCAGTACCGTCTCTCCTTCCAACAGTGGTTTCTACGAACGTTTTGATCCACTGCCGCTGAAAGATCCTCAAAGCTCGCGAAAAGCTCGAGAAGGAAGTCCGTTACTCAAAAACAAGGAATCCTCCGCAAACCCTCACAGATGATAAGGAGGTGGGGTTGATACAAGTCATTCTTTTGAACAGCAACCAATTCAATGCAGTCAGCCTCCGCTCCCTTATATAACTACCCGACTGCCATGCACCCAGACCCCCCCTATGATGTGCAGACATCTATCCTCTTGAAGCAGTGCTTAAACATGAAAAGGAGCAGTTGGTGTCTTCGTGTCCTTCTACGAGCTTTTGGTGCAGTGGTTGCTGCCAACTCAGGTCCTGCGTTGGCATGGAATGCCCACAAGGGGCCCAAATAAGACTTGGGGAAGGGAATATCGATGACGATCCATGTATCAAACCATGTACTACATGTACATGTGCTCCAGACAAATAGTATACGTACAAGTATTTCAATCCCAACTCAATCTTCATCGGTCATGACATCTCCGTGTATCGCTCGGCTAAGATCTCGGTGTTTTGGCTCGTTTATGTAGCTTCTTGCTCTAGTGGCTTCTTGCTCCTAGTAGCGATGCCAGGAGCCCCTAGTAGCGTCCTTGCTCCTAGTAGTACGGCTTATTGCTACTAGTAGCAAACTGACCCCCTCTATGATTCCAAAAAGGACATCCAAGCTCACCAAGTCGGTGAGTCACAAAAAAAGTGTACATGTGCGCAGAACAACCAATCGTCTGCGAGAAACGCACAATGACCAAGATACAAACTTGGTATCCAATGGCGGCAATCCCTTTAAATCTCTTTAACTGTATGGTGAAGATAGAGCACGACAAAGCACGGCTGTTTGACTCAGGAGGGGGTTCCTCTTTTGAGGCCTCTCCGCTGCGCTTTCTCTCCGCTTCCCCAACACCGCGACGCAAGGGACTCGAATGGTCTCCTTGCTGCGAACTAGGGTGAATCGGATCCCGGAAAGGACCAATGATCCAAAGGCAGAAAGCACGGCGTGGTGGGTTCGGGTGTTTTATCGACCATGACGGGGGATGGAAACACAAGGCCACCAAGTATTCCACGTCTCAAAGAGAATCTTGGGAGCAGCTTTTTTGGCAATTTCTCACCCCACACAGCGAGACTGAAGCCGAATTATTGAAATATGGGTTCAATCTGTGTCTATGTTCCATGGCTGTCATACTAGGGGCTCCTGGCATCGCTACGAACGGAGCACGGACAGGTTGGAGGCCATCGCTAACGGTGTCTTTCTTTCGGATGAGTCCAAACGGAACTGGAGTTGCCCGGTCGTCGGCGCCTTTCTCCGAGGCTCTCCGACGAGCTTCGCGCGGGCTTAGTGCGGAGCTCGTGTGGCCACCCAGCTTCGAGCTTTCAAGCTGGAGGACATCGGGGAACAAGTGCATCGCTACTAGGAACAAGTGCATTACTACTAGTAGCTAGAAGCTCAAATCCAGCCAAATTGGGCGCAAACGGCTTTGGTATAATTTTTCGCAGAACCCGATGCAGTGAAAATCAGGTCCTTTGGTGGGGAGTCTCATTTTCGGCGGATGAAGGGACATGCAAAGTTCTGGTGCCCAGAGAAGTTTACAATCGGAAGATGCTCAAGGCTAAACATCCACAGTGGAGAGAGGGAGACTCCAGCCAGGCTGTATTCTGACAAAACCAGACTTCTGAGTTCCTGTTCCATCTGGGATTCGTTGGACACCACCGCTTTTGTAAAAGGTATTTATGGGGGATTGGAGATCTGCGTGGAGAGTTCAGTCTACGTAGATCAAACAGCTGGCACGTCTGGGAAGTTCACCGGTGGTAGGGTGCGAGTGGATCCATTTTGACCTTGCTTTGAACAGTCTTTACTGAGAAGAGCTCTTGCGCACCTAGGGTGCTTTACAGTGCCCCACTGCGGCTCTATCCCTCCACAGGCTAGTAGGGAGCAAGATGGGATGGTGGAGTTGGCCACTACCTGCCACCCACTTGTGTTTTGAGTTTGTGTCTTGTAAGTTGGTAGTGCTGGCCTCCAACCTGGTGGGACGGCCTCTAAACGTACTGGCGATGACCTCCAACCTTGTTGCTTGATGCAGCTTTAAGTTTGTGCAAATGACCTGCCAGCGATGGCCTCCAGAATTTGGGGCGATGGCTTCCAACCTACTAGCGATGGCCTACAACCTACCTTGCCCGTTTTACGCAGGCCCCTTTTTTCACCTAGGTTGCCGTGTGGCATATGGCATCCAATTCAGTACGCATTATCTCAAATGTGTCTGACCTTTGTGTCAGCCCAGGGTGTACCCCTGCATCCATGTTTCAGGAATACGAACCCAGTGAGGCGCCTCCAGAACCAGCTGCTTCTCCACTACCCCTTGATGATGGTCTGGACGATGACCCAGCAGTTGCACAAAGTCAACATCCATAAACTGAGAGCACAGCTGCGCCAGGCTTTCGCCCACCCTCTCAGGCAGTGGAGCCTGGGCCCAACCCAAGTGCAGTCATGCTGCTCTGGCGTCTTGTTTATGGGGGATGGTTGGAACATCCGTTGGAGCGCGAGTGTCCTCCGCACGTTTGTTGTGGGTTCTTTGGGGTTGCTCTTGCGTGGATGATTGGAGGCATATGTGGAACTCCGAAGGACGACTGGCATGTACTCTTAGACTTGGGGCCGTGACAGTGAATGCAGAGGTTGCATGTGCCTGCAGTCGGCCCAGCATTGCACTTGTCACCATAGCGGAGTGTTGGGTGATGGCAACCCTCGTTTTGACGCGCCCGTTGGAGAGCGCAGAGGAAGCGGCGCGGAAGGCTTGTGCAGCCAAAGACTTCGAGGCAGTGACGCTGGTCCTGTCGAAGGCCAGGTTGCGGGGGGGAGGCGGTGACTTTGGATTCAGACAGTGAGATGTGCGTAGGGCTCCAAAAAGGGCAACCTTTTTCAGCAATGGTGCAACAGCAGGACAACATCATCAACAACAACAACAACAACGACCAATACAACCGCCCAGCATGCGTGCGTGTATGGTCATCCGTGCAGAACAAACTTTCACATGTACGTGGGGTTTCTCATAGCAAAGGTTTTAGAGGGTATATAACTACACTTGACGCCAAAGCTTCGTAGAGGGATTGTGCCTTTGCAAAAATCCTGATGAAGTGCCCTTAGTTGTCACGCCTAGCAAGGCCAGACGTGAGCTTTGCTTGCAGAGCAGATGTTGGCAAGTCGAGTCGCTCGATGGACTAGATGGGAGGATCGGCAGATGTTGAGACTACCTAAGCTCGACGTGTGATTTTGTCATGCGTGCTGCAGTAGAACCTGGTCAAGCGCCGGCACTGTTAGTACAAACTGACAGCGACCGTGCCTCCTGTCCACACACTGCAAGAAGTGGGGTAGTATATGTTCTTCGAATTACCTCTTCATGTTTCCCTTTACTTGGCCCTCAAAGAAACAGAGTTCGATTGCGAGGAGTACCGCAGAAGCCGAGTTAGCGGCGAAACTCTGAACTCGCATACTATGGTTGAGTCCTTGGCTGAAGTTCGCATCCCAGTGTCCCTCCAACAGGACATCCAAGAAGCAATCACCGTGATCCAATCTGGATATGGTGCGAAACTTCGGCACGCTGGTAGGGTTCATACAGTGAACCTTGCCTCTATCCACGAGCAATTGGAGCAAGGTGCGTTTGAGCTTGAATGCTGCGATACAAAGCGTCAGGATTCACGAATGTAATCGGGCAAGCCGAATGGTAACAAACTCTCGAGCAGCTGTGCCTGGCACCAGCCACATAGTCCCGTAGTCTATGAAATCTGTGCGGATTGCAAAGCAAGAAGCACACGGAAATTGAATTTAGGGCTGCTATATGGAAGGGGGGGAGTTGTGAAGTGGCATGTAGAATAGCCGCAGGGCATCCCCTCTAACATCCCTAGTGTTAGTCTTTCCATTGGGTAGCAATCATTTTGCTTTGCGACTTACATTTTGGCTCAAGAACTGTGGAAAAGGCGCGTTTCTGCAGCTGCTCGCTCACGGGCATTAGCTTCCTTACTTGGATGTGGTAAGGTAATCTAATTCTTTGGGTTGCAAACAGCTCATCTTCACTACTCCAACCTACTACCGATGGCCTCCAAATAGCGTCCATGAATCTGCGTACCACTCTGGTTACCACAGATTCGACCTGCGAGCGACGTGAACATCGAGTCGAGGTCCAACCGGCTTTGGTTTCATCACCTTCCAAAGGCTTGGTTTGATGGGGTGTGACAGGGGTGAAGATGATCCTAGAGTTGTATACACCAGAGTGGTGGTCTGCAGGTATTCAGATTGAGTTATTGTTTGGCTTTTTCGTTTTCTACGAAGCTTGGCCCCTGTGTAGGTCAAACAGAGGGGCTCTCCTTGCAAGGCGACTAAGAATCTTAGATGAGTGAGCCGGGTGAAAGGAGTCCTGACTGAATTTCTTGAGCAGATTCCCATGACACTTGTTCTTTTTGGTTAAGCTTAAGCTTAGGTGATTTCTGAACCAGCCGGGGGAAGTCTTAGTTTGAGGTTGAGAACCTCACGGGCACGGACGGAGGAACACGCTTTGTGAGGAGTCCATCCTCCAGTTCTTTCTTAGACGGCCCTTTCGCACCACCAAAAGCACCACCTGACACAGAATTTAACGCCAGGTGTTAAGCAAACTTGATGACCCTTTAGCCTCTTAGTCAAGCTGAGAGTGTATGGAGTTTTCATCGCATCGATCCATCGGTCGCCTTGTCGAAGCTGTGGCAGGGCATGTGACCATGTTGGCTGAAGGAACTCTACCCAAGTGACCCACGTGTGGTGTTTCATCGTCGCACCACTTCATCGGGATATATCGGGATGGTTTCTGGCGATCACATGCGAACAGAGCACCTTGATCCTGGTGCACAACAGTTGACAGCCTACATCGTGGCCCTCAAACTGAAACCAACACTTCATCAGTGTTTATATACACCCATGAGTAAATTTGAGGTATTACATCTATGAGTACATTTGAGGTAAACGATGCGTGGTTCTTTTCAATCTCAGGGCTTAGCAGCGTTTCCTGCCTGGTGTGTGACCACCTTTTGTTGCAGGACTTCATCCCTGAGCCTCACCAGCTCCCACCAGAACTTTCAGTGGAGGAGCAATCGGCATTGCTCTCGACTCCCCTGATGTTCTCTGGATTTTGTTTGAACACTTGAAACATGATTTTGGTTTACGTTCTTTAACCCTGTTTTTCTCAATTAGGATCCCGGCCGATGCATTGAATAGGTTCGAATGGCAATGGTTGAACGAGGGAAGTTCATCACCAACTGGCAGAAAAAGAACGATATATGTTTCAAACCGGTAGACTCAACAAGACTGGCGATTTGGAAAGATTCGGTCGGGCGAAGGACGAAGGCACGTTCGCCAGTTTCTGCGGGCAAACACTGAAGGACTTCAGGTGAAATCTGAGAAAACAGATTGAGCTTTCGAAGATGTTCAATTCAATCGGCGGTTGTTTTGCCCAAAGTCCAACCGAAGCCGCTGCACTGGCGGATTTTGGACAAATGAATCTCGAAAGAAAGGTTAAACTTGGAGCGATCGAACGCTATTAGGGGCTCCTGGCCCTACTACTAGGAGCAAGGACGCTACTAGGGGCTCCTGGCATCGCTACTAGGAGCGATCGGACGCTACTAGGGGCTCATGTCCAAGTCTCACCTACCAAAGTTCCATCAGAGGCCACTGCGTTAGCTTAGCGGGCTTGCGCTAGTTTAACTGACACATTTCGATCAACACATATTTTGAATGTCAGTTCGATTTTTCCATCTTTTGCATGGTCCTTGCTGGTTGACTCAGACCACCAGCCTACGGTTCCCAAAGCTGGTTTCAGCCGGTGGCGCAGGTAGATGTGAATGTTTCGTCTGGAGTCATTCAGAATCCCCACGGCTTTTAGGGCCTCAGGCTCGCGCCTTTTTTCATCCTTTTTCCATTGCATGCAACCTTTTTCTGTGATCCAACCACCCCGAAACTCACCGTTGAGTCCAATGCTCCTCTAGAAGAACCGAAGAGTTGAACAGAGTTGAGTCCATACAGCGCAGGACGAGCACCGTAGCGTCTCTCATACCTTCTCCGCAGGATATCGAGCCTGGCGGCCCGGAAGGGCCCTGATCCAGACTGATTGGGAAGGTCTATATAAAGAACCGAATGATCATGAATGATCGATACTAAACCCAAACATAGAATCGAGCACCAGCACCAAGCATGGTACTCAATGCTATGGCATGCTATTGCAATCATCTCTTGGTCATATTATGCCATCGCTATTAGGTTGGAGGCCATTACTATTAGGTTCCCTTTCCATTACGTTCCCTTTGAATCATTCTTGGTCTCAAATGAAATTGGACCGCCCATACGACTCTGAAACCCCGGCAAAATAGCACTCGTCCTACAAACAGAACGACTCTGACGCCTTTGCGCCTCCGAGGCCCAATGTCGCTTCCGCTCGGGGCCTCTCTTTGAGCATCCTGCTGTGGTCGGCCGGCCCAGCATGTGGGATGCCATTCAGCGCTCGCATTTGGGGGTGTCACCTCCATAATGAAATAGAGCGCGGACGACCTCCTTTGTTTCCTGATTTCACATGCCGTAGTCTTTCTCATGAATATCTTCACCCTCTTTGGAAAAACAATGATGAAGACGAATGACCAAGGAAACATTGAGCCTCTTTGAGCTCCGCGGGACGTTTCGGGGAATGCCAAGCCCAAGTGGCAAAATGCAGCCCCTTCGCAAGAGTACCATGTCAAAGGCTTCACAATCTACCAAGTCCAGGACAAGCTGTAATGGCCTCCAACCTTCAAGTGATGGTCTCCAACCTTCAAGCGATGGCCTCCAACCTAAGAGCGATGGCCTCCATAGCCAGCGGTTCTTTGTCCTTGAACTCAACAACTCTCGTGGGCGCAGAGGGCTGGGGTGGAGGGACACCAACGTGGAGCACAGCTCGGCACAGCATGTGGAGGGAAATGCTAACTTGCTACTAGAAGCGATGCACTTGTTCCTAGTAGCTTCTTGTTACTACTAGTAAGGCACTTGTTACTAGTAGCGATGCACTTGTTCCTAGTAGCTATGGATATTCGCCTTGTTTCGCCTTTCGCCGGGTTCGCGTACTCCTCCGCACCATCCAGACCGACAAACAGAACTGAAGGCGACGCTGGACTACCTAATGTCCTTGGATACGGACAGCTGGAGCCCCACTGGAAGGGAAATCGGTTCCGGTTCCGGTTAAGCCCTGAATTTGGTACTTTGGATCTTGTATTTCTAGTTTGGGGGCTAAAGCCAGCGACTGAAGGTCCTATAGAAAAGAATTATGATGAATATGGTATTTCTGGTACACTTCATTCTACTAAGCAAGATTAAGCAAGAATGTTTTAGATCAACAGTCCTTACCAAGCCTATCCAGTACATTGTCTTGGAGCAAGACGATGCACTCAGATGCCAGTTGGTTTTCCCAATCCTCATCTGGATGCTAGAGGAAACAGGGCTATCAAAAAGTCCAGTTTTCTGACTTCGTCAAGTCCCGTTTAGCGTATAGTCTGGCACCTGTCCTCCCCGCTCTTGGATCCTTTGGCTTTGGTATTTCAACTTTCCTTCTCGCACCTCCCATGGATTATGCGTGTTGACGCTGCACTGTGGTCCAAACACACACCTTTAGATCAGGCCATAAGTTATGGCACAAGAGAAGCCTTTCTTTCTACCGGGTCCCGATCTGGGTATAGTTCGAACTCAAGAGCTGCTCATGAGCCCCCCGGAGCCCCTTCAGCTGCCTTCGGCCCTTCGTCGTCCGCGGCACGGAGCCGCCGACCGAGGCATGTTTCCTCGCGAGGTGAACTGGGATCCCATCGAAGCGATGCATGGCAACGGCTCGCGGGTCTTAGGCGAGCGGGTTTGGCGCGGGTTTTTCGCGTGGTGGAGCGAAAGGGATGAAGACGGAGGGGAGATGGAAAAGGCATGAAAGGACAACTGATCATGCCTGATTATTGAGGGGCATCGGGATATTTGAAGTGTAATTTGTGGCTCGTTCCCCCCCTGTGTGTGGCAACTTGCTCACTCAGCATTGATGAACATGATCCTGTTCATGAAGCACCAAGTGCTTGAAACCCTCCAACCCACCAGCATCTCACATCCCTTGCAAAACGTTGCGGTTCGTATGATGAAATCCATCCAGGCCAGTACACCCCCTGGCATTTGGTGGGTTGCGCAGATTTGCCCAGTGCCTTTCAGCACTTTTCATATGTTCGATCTCAACCAGCCGATGACATAGCAATAAAACAATATAAAAGACATAGTGCTGGGCGCTGGGAGTAGAATCGACCACTAATTGCTTGTGAAAGAAAGTTTCTTCCCATTTGTAATGGTGTACTCTTTCTCTGACTAACCATCCCTTTTGCCAGGCTATTCCAGCTTGCTGGTAAGTTCAAGCGCGTATGTACGTGGGTAACCTGGCATGCACAGTGGCATGGGACCGGTCGTGGGTGTTTCTTAATCCTAGTCTTATAAAAAACTTTGGAAAGAGCCTGTTTTCTAAATTTATAAAACAGTCAAAAACAAGTCAATTTTGCCATTTTTTTTTAAAACTTTTCAATTTGATTTTCTTTGACTTTGACTTTTCCAGTTGACTTTTTTTTAAAATTCTTTTTTTTCGACTTTTTCCCGAAAGCATTGCGAAGGGTTCTTCCGGAAAATCTCTTGAACACTTACACTTGGACACTTACACTTGAACACTACACGCACTTACACTTGAAGACTTACAATTCTATACACTTACACTTGAACACTTACACTTCTATACTCACAATGGCACAGAAGTATCCAAGTGAACGTTTACGAAAGCCAGCCTTCGTAGAAGGCGCTAGCGGAGTTGTGTCTGGCGAACGAAGTGAGTAGTTAGGGTCTGGGGGGTGGCCCGGGAAAGGTACACGTAAACTCGGCACATGCTGGGGGAGGAGGGTGCTTCGAGGGAAGGTTTTTCGAGGTTGTGTTGGAGGTGATTTTTGGGGGGGTGGTGATGCAAGAAATGCCAAATGCATCATTTGCATCATCTGAATGGAAAGGTGTAGTTGGCACCTTGCCAGGTATAGAGACCCAGGGTAGCTATAGATCCGATGCGCCGCCGTGGTGGGTCAACCTGGAGCAACTTGACCCGTAGCTGCCGAACTACTTCGGCGGCTGGGTGAGGCGAGGGCCCACAAGCAAACTAGGGCTCTTGGCCATACTACTAGGAGCAAGAAGCTACTAGGGGCTCCTGGAGTCGCTACTGGGAGCAAGGACGCTACTAGGGCTCTTGGCCTACCGAACCAATGTCGACAGGTGCCACATCAACCTGGCCTCCCCACGCGGTGCCGGGTCCATGTGCCCGCGCTGCCAAGCGAGTCTTGGTCCGACTCCTCTGACGTGCTCTGGCTGCAGTTCAATCGGCCGTGACACCCTGACAGAAATCCTTGTCCTCAAGGCCACCTTACTGTAGCTGATCCCTTTTCGATCTTTTTCAGTTGAAAATCCACAGGTAAAAGTCCAACTTGATTAGCTCACCCTTTCATCCAGGAATTCTTCGATACTTGACTTTGCATGCTGATTTGTGACGCTCGGCAGTTGTCCTGACACACCAACCGCCAAGGCGCCCCACACCTCTCCACAGAGGGGTTGGGCCACCCCCCGGTGCGTGGTTCAGCGCTGGGGGGTGATGGTCGAGGAGACTCCTCGACAGAGCAACCAGTGGCCCAGTCTCACGCCTGGTCACTGTTTGCTGCTTGGCAGCGCTTTTTCACTGGCGGCGGGCCAGTGAGGCGGCCGCGGCTCAGGTGGGCCGTGCCGTTGTGATGCCGAAAACTGCACCAACATAAACACCCTGCTTAAACACCAGCGTGCCGTCCGAATATGCTTAAACACCCTGCTTGGCACAGCGTGCCGCTCTGCGATGCCAAAAAAACGGAGACAACACTTGACGCTGCGTGCCGTTCTGACGCCGCAAACTGCGCCAGCAGCCAAATTATGTTCCGAATATGCTTAAACACCCTGCTTGGCACGGCGTGCCGCATTGCGTTGCCAAAAAACGGACACAGGGAGCTGGAAGATGAGAACTGGCGACTTGGTAGTACAACTGTAGTACGTGGAATATCTGGGAAGCTGGAAGATGAGAACTGGCGACTTTGTAGTACAACCTTAGCACGCGGAGTATCTGGGGAGCTGGAAGATGAGAACTGGCGACTTTGTGGTACAACTGTAGTACGCGGAGTAGCTGGGGAGCTGGAAGATGAGCACTGGCGACTTTGTAGTAAAACTTTAGTACGCGGAGCACCTGGGGAGCTGGAAGATGAGAACTGGGGACGTCGTAGTACAACTTTAGTAGGCGGAGTCGCGGAGTATCTGGGGAGCTGGAAGATGAGAACTGGCAACTTGGTAGTACAACTTGAGTACGCGGAGTATCTGGGGAGCTGGAAGATGAGAACTGGCGACTCTGTAGTACAACTATAGTACGTGGAGTACCTGGGGACCTGGAAGGTGAGAACTAGTGACTTGGTAGTTCAAGTTTAGTACGCGGAGCATCTGGGGAGCTGGAAGATGAGAACTGGCGACGTGGTAGTACAACTGTAGTGCGCGGAGTATCTGGCGAGCTGGAAGATGAGAACTGGCAACTGTGTAGTACAACCTTAGCACGCGGAGTATCTGGGAAGCTTGAAGATGAGAAGTGGCGACTGTGTAGTACAACTGTAGTACGCGGAGTAGCTGGGGAGCTGGAAGATGAGAACTGGCGACTT